TAGCCGTCATCGATTCGCCATCAGTTAGCAAGTGGCGAAACGAACGAACTCAATGAGGTACAACCAAACTTGCTATCGTCTATCCGTGCTAGCTAACTTTGTTGTTGCTTTCACATGCAAAATTTTTCGTTAAGCTACCGGAACTCAAACATAGCGAGCGAGAAGTGGCGAATCGACGACGGCTACTGTCAAGTCACAGAAGCAGCGGAAATTGTGTGCTTGTTCCGTTGAAAATTATATCGGCCTGATAAACAGTGCAATAACAAATATGAACTCAGGGCAAGTGCGGGGGCAATACTTTCTGGTGAAAATAAATTTATTTGTTAAATGTTTACACTGTGAAAAGCTTTTTTCGCAAAGTTTTGTGCCTTTGTAAAAGATAAGTTAGACCTTTTGCTGAAAACCATAATCTTATGATAAGGAAAATGGTCATCTTTTATTCACAATAACATAAAATGTGATGTTTACCTGTTGAAGTCTTAGAAGGAAATTATGCCACCCGAAGAGAATTAGTTAGATGCTAACCAGGAAAAATAGTGGTTGGTTGCTCATTGATTTTTAACCCGTTCTTTGATCAAGCACAGGATAAGATAATCGATGGCAAGAAAACAATTATTTCAGTACTCTTATGACATATACATACTATATACATACTAATTAATATATGTAGGACTGATCTCATTCGTTTTGGTCCTTGCAAAGTGTTGTCCTCCCAGGGATATTAATTTCGAGGCTCCTTTCACTGCTCACCCTCACAAGCAGGCTCATAGTCTGACATGTTCTGCTGTCAGCTAATATCTCATACCAAGGAGGCTTCAAGGCGTTTGTGAAATAATTTTTGCAGAGTACTTTGGTCTGCAGCATCGAGCACGTTCATAATTTAAGTGTCATTTAGTGGAAGTTGCGGCGCATTTACTACTGAAAGTGCATTATTTGATTAGAGCAGCAAAACATATTCTAATTTATTGAATTTCTCATTTATTTTTTTATTAATCAGCAATTTTTGCAACACATAAATGTCTAAATGTTTATTAGTATTATTTCACTACATGCAGTTATGCAACTAAATTTAAGTAATGATTTGATACATATGTATGTATGTATACATGTGTGTATTAAAATGTTCTTATACATAGTTATTGTACGATTTAAAACACCTACGAGTGTTTTTGCTCTCTTTTTTTTTTAGTTAGTTAGTGGTTAAAAAGTTCGAAAAGCAGAAATTAAAGCTTAATTTGTAGCAAAGGTGGGTAGGGTATTACGAGAAGATTAGGTGGTGTAGGGCATATACAAAAAAGACTAATAAAGGAAATGTGAGAAATAAATTGAACGAAATGTGTGTAAAAGATTACATACATAAATTGATGGTATTTGTGAAAAAGTATTTAAGCAGCAAATATAAAGGTCTGATTATGGCAACTTAACTTAACGTTACTTAGAAAATCAAAATTAAACAGATTTCGACGTTGCTTTTAGTTAAGTTTGGCCTTTCCAAATATAAGCAACATCCATTTAAGAAAAATTTTAAGTGACGTTAAGTTTGTAGCTCAACTTAGTATAATGAAAATTAAGCTCAACAGAAAAAAATGCTTGCGATCAACTCAAGCCAAATTCAAAAAGGGACTACGATTTAAATATGCAAATGTCAGCGTTTTTGTACACTTGAGTGCATGCGAATGTTGACTGTTACCGTCAGTTTTCGCTTTTCCAAGTATATATCTGTTTTTATTTCTCCTAATTAGGAAACTTTATGACCCTTTAGGCTCTGTTCTTTATTAATTTTGAAATATTACTGTTTTCTATCGCATTTTTTCTTCTTTTTCTTTAATCTTCGCTATAATTGCTTATTTCTTTTCAGTGCAAACTAACTATAACTTAATTATGTATCTGCAATAAACCCAAAAGCATTTTGTTTTTCGTATTTTTCAGGTTTTTCTTTATTGTATGTAGCTTTTTCCTTATTCTCGAATACAATTATTTATGTTTTTATTTCATTGAATTGCAACAACTCAAAAAGTAATAATGCCGTCTCACAAGATACTTGTATATTATACACGTCATAATATAATTTTATATGTATGCAGTTATATATGTATACAACTAATGCGCCGCTTCATAAGCAGGTGAAATTTACGTAATTATTTTTTTTTTATTTTAAAGTAATTTAATATCATACTTTTTATTGTTTAAATTGATCGTATGTTCTTATTAAAAGAAAGCCAAATTTTACTTAAATGTGTTTAGTTAAGTAAATTATTTTGAAATTGTTTCTACTTAAATCATAAGTAGATTTTCCTCAGCTGTTGTTATTGCTATTTGTTTCTGATCGTTTTGTAGATGTTGTTTAGTTGTTGTTCCTACATACATACGCTGTACGCTTAAAAGTAATAATAATTAAGTTAAAATTAAAAGCGTTTCAAGTTGGTGCGGTTTAGTTTTTCTTGTTCTAGTTGTTGTAAGTTGCTTCTCTCTACTTGGGGTTGCTTGAATATTGTTTCAGTTGTTGTTGCTGTTATTCGTGAATAACAATGAATATTTGTATTGTATTGCATTCAACTACTTAATCATGTTTCCTGCATCATTTACTAAAATTTGACGCTTCACTATTTACTTTTGTTTAATTTACTTTCCATAAAACTATTTCGCGTTTTAAGTTTAGTTTTTGGTTATTTTCCACTTTTCCGCATCTCGCCTCCCACTCAACTTCAACTCAGCTCTACCGCGCTTCTAAACCCTTTTACATTTACTTCTGCACCATTTTCATCAAGAGGTCGGTCGACAACGATTTGGGTCTCTCGATGGGCAGACCTAACGCACGATCCCAGATTAATGAAGCCAACACGCCGAGAGCGCGCGAAACGCCGAACAATACGGTGTAGTAGTTCATCTCCTTCATGCCGTAGTATTGGAGTAGCACACCAGAGTGAGCATCCACATTGGGCCAGGGGTTCTTGACCTTGCCGGTTTCGGTGAGGATTGGTGGCACGATCTTGTAGATCTTCGACACCAGTTGGAAGAGATCATCGTCGGGCAGGTGTTTGAGCGCGAACTCACGTTGGCAGGTGTAGCGTGGATCGGTCTTGCGGAGTACAGCGTGACCATAACCGGGCACAACCTAAAGGAAATAGCGTAAGTAGAAGTTCACATCGAAGCTAAAGTAAAGTTAACCTACCTGTCCTGACTTCAAGGTCTTCCAGACGTAGTCCTTCAATTCATCTTCCGATGGGTTGGCACCCAATTGCTTCTGTAATTTGCGTAGCCACACCAACACTTCCTGATTGGCCAAACCGTGCAATGGACCAGCCAAGCCGTTCATGCCAGCGGCGAAGGAGAGGTAGGGGTCACTCAAGGCGGAGCCAACCAAATGCACTGTGTGTGCAGACACGTTGCCACCCTCGTGATCGCTGTGGATGGTCAAGTAGAGACGCATCAATTCGGTGAATTTGGGATTGTCATAGCCCAACATCTTGACGAAGTTCGCTGACCAATCCTGACTGGAATCAACCGATTTAGAGCCTTTGCCGCCACGGTAAGTATTGCAATAGATGGTTGCGGCAACGACGGGCAGTTTAGCAATCAAATCCATGCTGTCCTCGTACACGTATTCCCAATACTTGGTCTTGTGCACGCCCTGCAATGAAAACGCAAAGAAAGGAGAGAGAGAGGAGTTGTGAGTATGCAATCATTTTAAACATCATATGCACAACTTACCTCTGAGTAGGCCTTAGCAAATTTGCTGTCATGATTTAGCGCAGTGACGGCGCATGCCAATTGCGACATCGGATGCAAAGTGGTGGGCATGTTGTTCAACATCGTCACAACATGTTGTGGCAGTGCGGCGCGTTCGGCCCATTCCTTGGACAGTTGCTTAACTTGACCCTTAGTTGGTACATCACCAGTAAGCAACAACCAGAAGAGACCCTCAGGCAATGGTTCTTCGCCGCCATCGGCCTTGGGCAATACCTTTTGGCATTCAGGAATGGAGAGACCACGGAAACGAATACCTTCATCGGCGTCCAAAACAGAGGTTTCGCAAACGAGACCCTTAATGCCACGCATGCCACCGTACATCTGTGGTGAGAGAAAAGGGTAAAGTTAGAATACATATGAAGTTAACAAAAAAGTAAGCTAAAATTGTAGTTTTTTTTTTATTATTTTAGGACGTTTTAAATTAATATTCGAAAAACAAAAATTAACTGCAAGGCCGGCAAAAAGTATTGGCACAGCTGCTTTTTTCCAATATATGCCACAATTTTTATTGTAATATTTTCCGCCATTTTTTTTTATAAAAATATGGTTCATTCTAAAACAAAAAAAATAAATAAAAATATAATTTCCAAACTTTGTGCAAAACTCGAGAAATTTAGCAAATTTTCGTGCAAGTTTTCAACCTTTTAACCAGAAAAATTGCAAGTTCGGAGTTAGTCAAAAATCGCATTGCTTTTTGAGATTTTTTTTTGTTGAAAGTGCTTTGCACTTTTCCCATATAAAGTATTTTCGAAAATTTTTTTTTGTATGGAAGTCTGCGTGAAAAAAAATTGTCAAAAATCGATGGAAATTCGTAGCTACTTAGAGCTTCTACTTTATTGTAATAAAATTGATTGGGCTACAAATCTGCATACTCAAAAAAATTCTAAAAAATCTGTTTAAAAAGTTGAAAATTTGTTGAGTTTTGTACAAAGTTAAGAAATTTGTTTTTATGTTTTTTGTTGTAGAATGAACCATATTTTTATAAAAAATTGGCGGAAAAATATTACAATAAAAATTGTTGCATATATTGTAAAAAAGCAGCTGTGCCAACACTTTTTACCAGCAGTGTAAGTAAAGCACGAACTTAAGATTGAACACAAATTGGAAAGTTATTTTAAACTTTCTTTGTGTTCTTATTTTAATAAATATTTTTTTGCTTTGTTTCATTATAACAGAAACGGCTGCCATAGAAGTGACTTCTAATAAAAAATTTGTGAAAACAAAGAGAAAAAAGCAACCTTCGACGCTTAATCATTATCTTATCAGTTCAATTCAAATTAACTTTCGATAACTAACTGCGAATTGGCTTAATTTTAGGTACATTTAATTACGTTTTAAGTCCATTATGTAAAGTGACCACCAAAAAAAAAATTCAATCACTCGACGACTCCATAACTATTCTTTGTTTTCTTATACATATTTGTATTTGAATAAAACAAATTTAAAATTGCAAAAGTTATTATGTATTTAGCTCAAATTCAAAGCTGAATATATGATTCTTTACTTAGCTTTGGCCATACAACATTATTCTCTGCTTTTGAGTTTGACCCTTTGACCTTGGCGCGCAACGCTAACAGCACAATTCATTTCAAATTGCACTGCTAATGTCTTGCAATCGATCTGTTGTATATAATGCATACATATGTGTAAATACATAGATGCATAGTCACACGACTATACCACACCCACACTGCCTTTTTCTTAACCCTTTCAAGACCAAGGGAAACATGCTTTCTGTGCATAAGAAAATGGTTTCTGTTCTTTATAATGCGTACCATTTTTATTTAATTATTTTTATCATACAATTTTGGAAATACAAATTAAATATTTTGATCAAAACTAAAGAAATTACCATGTATTATAAAAATATTAGTTTTTGAAGCAATACAAATTAAAGAAAGCAATAAATTTATGAAAAAATGACTGCTTGGAAAAAATTTAGGAAGAGATATTGAGACAAAAAATTAAAAAAAAAAATTCTTTTAAAACTTGCGTTTTAGGAAAAAAATATTTTTTTTGTGAAATTTTTTTTCTGAAAATTATCTTCATATTCTTACATTTATTTGGGAGAAAATTTATTAAAAAATATATTTTTACAAAAAGCAGAAATAATTATAATTATCTAAACAGAAACAAATTTTAAGAAATTGAATTGATTTCCTTATTTTTTGACATTTTTTTTTTTGTAGACCATAATGAAATTTTTTTCTGAAAATTATTTTTTTGTAAGAATATTTGCAAAGGCAAAAATTTATTTAAAGAAAACTATTTTTA